CAAAAAATAGTAGTAAGTGGCTCACATATCCAATCTTTAACCTCCTTCAAAACTTTTGGGAAAATATTAACTGGCCCAGGAGTCAAATATTAATGCAATCATGTTGTTTGATCTCGTTTCCATTTATCAACTGTTCAAGATGTGGAATACTGCTTAAATCTTCATTAGTAAAAATCAAGGAAAAAGGAAAATTCAATAACACAGTCATCAGATTAGAGCCTTCTGTTATCATCCTTCAATGTAATACACCCATCCTAATATTTTGTTTACCCTTAATGTATTTAAAGAAATATCCTTACTGTTAATTTTTACATTTTCAGCCAACCTTTTCTCATACATCCTTTTTCATGTCCTAATCTCCTATTTCACCAACTTTCTTGACCTTCTAAATCTCCTGTCATAGCAGTCAATTTAAATTTCTTAAACTTATGATGCTTTTCTCTTTTTCTCTCTTTTATCTCTTAAACTATTTATGAGCCAACCTGTTTTTTTACTTGCAACTACTCTTTTCTTTCTATAAGGAATATATTTACCTTGCATATTGAAAAAAATTATCTTTAAACATTTTCCACATCTGATCAGTGTCTCTAAATAACTCAGCTGCCCAATTCACAACAGATAATTCTTGTCGCATCCATTCAAAGTTTGCTTTTTTGAAATTTGTAACCAAAATATCATTATTCTTTATCTCCATATGCAGTAAAACATTGAATCTAATACAGCAATGATCACTTGCATGCAGATATTCCCCAATTTCCACCCTCTCGATCATTTCTGTATTTGAAGTTAACAATAAATCTAAAATAGCATTGTTTCGTCCATCACCCGTTCAAGCCGTCTCCAAACTTTAATACGTACTAAATTTAACTTAAATATGGCTTAATGTTACTACATTATTATTGATATTCAACTAGTATTAGTACTTTTGTTTGGAATAATCTTAACCTACTACAGGTAGTTTTCTTTTGATAACACAACAATTTTACATTGTTAGTACAAATTACTTTTTATTTCATGATGACACTTTTGCTTTCTTAATATTGACAAAATACTGATTATTTGAAAAGGTTTCTCTTCTAAAGCACAGATATAAGATTGTACAGCACTCACTTATTATCATTTTAGCTTCTCCTAATTACTAGTATTACTATTAGTAATACACTGTCAACAGGAAATTCTCTTGCTTCACGTCCATATATCACGAAAAATGAACAAATGCAAACTCGCGTTACAAACTTGGTGTTAAAATTCTAATTGTTATGTTTAGATCAGATTCTGTTGTTATGGTATCTCGAATGCCCTCTTTTGGACAAAAACAAACACTATAATTCAATTTATATATATATATATAAAGACATTTATTTAACCTCGGACAACACGAAAACTAAAGTAGAGGACGTTTTGGCCCGGCATGGCCAAATGGTTAGGGCGTTCGACTCGCAATCTGAGGGTCGCGGGTTCGAATCCCCGTCATACCAAACATGCTCACACTTTCAGCCGTGGGTGCGTTATAATTCCTATTATTCGTTGGTAAAAGAGTAGCCCAAGAGTTGGTGGTGGGTGGTAATGTCTAGCTGCCTTCTCTTTTGTCTTTGACTGCTAAATTAGAGACGGCTAGCGCAGATAGCCCTCGCTTAGCTTTGCGCGAAATTCCAAACAAATCAAAAGAGGACGTTTTATAATAATATATGAATAATAACATATTTATTTATTTATATACAAAAGTATTAACCTAATAAGCACAGGTATCTATGATTACTGATCTAACTTCTAGAGTTAGACCAAAAAAAAGAGTAATTATGCATTAAAGCTGAGACGATATTTCAATTTAATCACCCCCCCTTCCCGGTGCTACAGCGGCAAGTCTGCGGACTTACAATGCTAGAAACCAGGTTTCGATACCCGTGGTGGGCAGAGCATAGATAGTCCATTGTTTATATTTGTGCTTAACTTCAAACAAATCACTTTAATTAAAAATTAACTTTGTTACGTAAATACTTGTACTCACAAATGTTCCAAGTATTCAAAAATTTTATATTTAAAAAATCTCAAAAGATTAGCCTGTTTGCTTATGTGTTTTGTTTGTTTTTTTTTAGGTACATGTGGAAGACAAGTATATGCTGTATGTCACTATACTAGGAGATGTATGGAAAGTGTTGATAAAATCAAACTCGAGTATATCCTCATGACTGTTAGAGTTACTAACCTAATTTAGTTTTTAATTTGTAACTTTTCTTTAATATTTAAATACAAATTATTAACTAGCTTATGTTTCTTTTCGGTTACTAATCCCTGTAATTTTGAGAAAATCCTGAGAAGCGCTATTTTCTGTGTTGGTACTAGTCAGGAATCGATTATGCGACTTCTTAATATAGAAGTGGTGCAAAACTGATAATTGCGTTTTAAGATGAGTGATAAATAATATTGAATACACCAATATAAAAATATTCAAGTAATAAAATTATCTTTATTTTTTAATACTGTTACGTCTCAGTTCGTTAGTTAATTTTCCGTAAAAATTCTTTCCAAAGAAACTTTACCGATACAAGTCTTTTCTTAAATAAAACTGGTTTATTCTTTCTGAATACAACTTTGCGATACACTTAATTTCAACAGTCGCGCTATTACGAACGTCTCACGTGCTCAACTCAACAATATTCTATCCGCAGTTCAATTACACATTGTTGCTGTCACGTCTTGACCGTCTTATATGTACAAAGAATAACGAAATCTAGTAAACTCCAGAGGCTTCATGAACGTTCTAGATCTAGAAGCGCGTGGCGTATTACTAGCGTCACGTGACCTCCGCTATCGTAACAATACAAATATACTGTTACGACAGCGGAAGTCACGCGACGCTGGGAGCATGCACGCTGGAGTTTCTAGAAGGATCATGACTTATCGGGAACCTCACAAATGTCCCAGATTTTGCTAGACGCCCTCTTTTTTAATATATAAGCCGGAGATAGATTGAAGAGAGATAACTGAGTCAAGCAAACAGTAGGCCCCG